GATTTGATCCGTTTACCTGCGAAATTTATCTTATTTATCATTTTTATTTGCCTATTTTGTCGTCAATATTTTGTTTTAAGGAGTTTAAATGGCCCTTATCAACCTTGATTTACATATTCTATAACATTATTTTGACAGTTAAAGTTTTGGGAGGTTTTTGGGCGGGTTTTTGTGAGCTTTTGGGCTGGAAATCGTCCATCCAATCTGGCAACACTGCAAGTGACCAACCACAGCTGGTCTTTTTTCTTAACGCGATCCGATGATGTTTCAAACAGTGCCCGCGCCATTTTGGTAGGCAAAGCAGAGCTCGGAGCAAGAGTAATACAGTTTAAGATTTTACAGTGCAATGGTAATAACTTGTGCTGTGAGGGGTTGTCGTAGCCACTCGTCAAATGGTATCAAAGTGGGCTTTTTTAGAATACCGCGAGTGAGAACACGCGAAGGAGAGGAAACTAGAACACTTTGTGAAAGAAGACGGGCTACATGGCTAGCCAGAATAAACAGGAGTAACGTGAAGATCTCAGACGGCTGCAGAGTGTGTTCGGATCACTTCGTCCAAGGTAAACAAACACAGCACGTGGAAAGTAGTTTTTCTTATTATGCTTGCGTAAAAATAATTTAGCTTAAGTTTATGTCAGCTGCAGATTGTATTGTTTTCGTTCGTGGTCTTCTGTACTTTATTTATATCGTTAGCATGCTTTCTTGCTGTCATACCTTCAAAAAAAATGCTTGGATAGTCTAGCCCCTTTTCATTACAAAATATATGTAAGGATTGTCACAGTCTACGTATTACGTTTATTTTAGGTAGACCAAGTTACCTTCATGATGAAAAAAATCCTGACTGGGCACCGTCACTTAAGTTGGAAGTAAAAGATGCTCACAGCCAAACAAACTTAAGCAGATATCAGAGAGCCAAAAAAAGACCAGCTTTAGGAAATAGGAGAAAAGATGAGAAACTTGTAGTAGACACCCTTCTTGAGGCAGCTGCAGTGAATCAAGGCCCTGAACAGCCATGTATTAGCACAGAGGAGAGTGAGGTGAAGGCAAGAGCTACATGTGATTCAGTGTCCTGCAAAAGTGAATTCCAGACAGCAACATGTGATGCCAACACTGATTCTGCATTATTAATATCCACAGACAGCACTGAAACTAAGGTGAGTTCATTCGTTATCTGATCTGGTCACGAGGTATTATCTCCAGTAATACATGACATAAAAATTAGGTTAAAGAAAAGTTTATATCTAGTGTTTATATTAAGCTAATTTCTTTTAGGAGAGCCTCAAAGCTCAAATAAAAGCCTTACGGGAGAAGTTGAGAATCTCACAGGAGTTTCAACAAACCTTGCATCAAACTGCAGAATGCATTAAGGTCAGAATTTAATTTAGGCCTTACAACAATAATACTTTGAAAATATATATTGACATATCCACCTTATTTTATTTATTTATTTATTTTTTAAAGGCAGAAGTAAACTATTTCCTGTGAATGTGTGAAAACTTCAGATTCATTAGCCACTATGGGTAAATAACTAGAAGGATAACAAAATGCAGTACCTGGTAAAACTATTTGATCAGTGCGTTTATGATTATGATAATAAATTAAAAATAATATAAAAATAAATGGCAGTTTGAAACATCAAGCAAAGTAACAGATTTTATTTGTACAGCTAAAATAACTAAAAATGACTGATGCAGGAAGCCTTGCACATTTTAATTAAAAAGACTTTGCACAAACTTCATTTACCCATTTTGTCTTTCTTGGAAATGTCTTTGATTCCAGATTCAGGCTAAATGCACAGAGAAGCAGATTAAGGAGAATTTTGTCAAACTTTACCAGTTGTTATCTAATGAAGAGGCAGCGAGGATAAAAGCACTGAGGGAGGAAGAAGAGCAAAAGAGCCAGATACTGAGGAAGAAGATTGAGAAGATGAGAAAAGAGATGTCATCTATTTCTGCCACAATCGCAGCTGTAGAGGAGGAGATGAAAGCTGAAGATGCTTTACTCCTGCAAGTATGAAGCATGTGTTTTTTATAGAAATTACAGCATCTTCATTATAATGGAGATTAATGCAAATGTCATTTTCAAAATTCTAATTTAGTTTCACTGCATAACCTGCATTTCTTTTACCCTTTTTTGTAGAACTATGATGCCACTTTGAAAAGGTTTGTATCGTTTCTCCTCTGTTGTTCTGAACTCAGACCCACAGCATCACTGACTACTGAGTGTTTTCCCAGAGTTTCCCAGTGTAAAGCGCCAGATCCAGATCCAGAGGACATTTCTGGAGTTCTGATCAATGTGCCAAAACACCTGAGCAACCTGAAGTTTACTGTGTTACAGAAGATGCAGAAAACTGTTGATTACAGTGAGTAAAGCACACAATGAATTCATCTCCATCGTAAGAGTCATTTATTTTGTTTCATGTTTGTGTGTCTCTCTCTTCAGCTCCTGTGACCTTTGACCCCAACACTGCTCACTGTAATCTCATCCTGTCTGAGGATCTGACCAGTGTGAGATACAGCGATGAGGAACAGACTCTTCCTGAGAATCCAGAGAGATTCGACATGTTTGCGTGTGTTCTGGGCTCAGAGGGCTTTGACTCTGGCTCTCACTGCTGGGACGTTGAGGTCGGAGACAGTACAGGCTGGTTCCTCGGAGTGATGACCGAATCTGCTCAGAGGAGGAATAAAATATTCTCAAGGAGTGGAATCTGGCTGGTGGGTCATTTCTGTGGTGAATATAAAGCACATGAACCACCACAATCACCAGCTCTCCTCCCAGTGAAAGAGAAACTGCAGAGGATCAGAGTTCAGCTGGACTGGGACAGTGGAGAGCTGTCGTTCTCTGACCCTCTTACTGACACTCATATACACTCTTTTACACACACGTTCACTGAAAGATTATTCCCATTTTTTGGTGTTGGCTGTAACATTTCTCCTTTGCTCATCCTACCTGTAAAAATGACTGTAATAGAGTCCAATTAATGGTAAAATTGTTTGTGTCTATAAACATGAATTGATGTACATTTCCATTTTCAATAACTTATAATAAATATAGAATAGATTTGTTTTGGTTGCATTTTTTGCAGTTATTTCCTAATTTTTACTTGTTTTATTAAAACATTTCTTTCATTCAAGTGGCAAAGATGTGAAAATGGACTGTATGTGCAGTGAATACAAGAAGCATTAATTTCAATATTCATCTTCTTGCTGAGAAAAACATGTATGTATGTAGTTTAATATTAACATCCTAAGATTAATATCCACATTATCACTATGGCATGACAGTAAAATTAATATTTTTACCTAATCCACATAAACTAGTCAGAGAGTTTTAAGATGGTGTAATTTTCAAATGTCTAAAAATATGAAAAAAAAAAAAACATTTCTTGAAATAAACTACTAAAAAAACGTTTTTATTTCAAATAGTTTCCAAAGCAACATTTCTAATAACTAAAACGGAACTGTATGTGTGTATATATAGATATATTTCAAACAAACGTACTACTCATATGTAGTAGATACTACAAATGACAAAAAAAAAAAAATTATGAAATGATAACGGAATATATAAATATAAAAACTTAAAATATTAATCAAAACTAATAGTATCTCAAATGATAACACGGACAAAGCTTTGTCATTTGTTTATTTAGTTGGTTATTGTGTTTAAAAAATATATCTAAACTTCAATTCCTATAGCAATTTCAGTAAGCATTTTGAATGCGAAAGGATATATATATATATATATATATATATATATATATAAAATCGCTGAGGGACAGAAAGAAAAGGGTATAACTGCAGCTTGGAGATCTCCAAATGGAGGCGGGAACTCCAAAACGGGGTGGGAGCTCCAAAATGGGGCGTGGCTTCCTCCCATTGGCAAACAGGCACATGAAGCGCATGCGCAATTTTTTTCCCCAATCCATGAGGTGTGGCTGACTCTTAACTTTTATAAAGAATATCTCTTTGGATTTGAGACTTTAGTCTTTGCAACTTTACAGATCTTCTTTATGCACCAAGAGCTTGTAACACTCCAAAGAGAAAGGAAAAATTGAAATCGCATCATGACCCCTTTAACCAGTGAAATTGAATGCACGGCGGGATTGGCGCTGAATGGCATGGAAAAGAAAGATGCAGTTCAGGAGATAAACAGTTAATAAGATTATGCAATATGAGATCGTTCCGTAAATCCCCAACCGGACCTCACCGGACAATGGCACCTTTTTATTTGCACCCAGCATCACTACCCCCTCCTACCCTGCGAATTTCGAGCCCCGGGACGCTCCCGTTGCTTAGAACAAAGCGATAGAGTCAAATCTTTGCGCTGGAAGCTGGGACGGCTCGCGGGAGAGCTCGTGGGTGATTCGCGTTTATACCATGAAGAGGTTCAAACTCCAGTCCAAACACCACTGGCCAAGAGCTTTGGGCTCTGCTTTCATGGAGTATATTTATTTATATAGCATATTTTGTTTTGGATGAACTAGAAACAATGTTTAACTTATAACGTTTTATTTTGAAATGTAAATAAACAACTGGCTGGAGCCAAAGCCAATGGTGAAAATCATTGCGCGAGGAGACCCCACTCCATTTTGGAGGTTCTGCCCACTTTTGGAGTTCACGCCCCATTTTGGAGATCTCCGGTCTGAATTTATACCATGATTTATACCTACTTGGAGAGAAAAGCACCGCATGCGCACTGTTCTCATACTGGCCAAGAACCGCCCACTTAGACCGGAAGAAATCACGTGACTGACATGTAATGTGACCAATCACAGTTCGCTGTTGAAACTACAGTTCGTTTTTAGGGGCGGGTAAATCTGAAATCGATGATGATAATAATGGCACAGGAGTCTCCGCAAAACGTTGTACAGACCAAACCGAAGAAAGTGGAAAATGACTGTTTGCTCTGTGGTAGGGAATTCTATCCATCCAAATGTAACAAGCACCGACTATTTCACGGGCACAAGTCTGAAAACAAAGCGGATTATGCGGTCGTGTTGGAGGAATTAGTTGGCAAATTTAAGGCCACGACTCTGGCCATCTGCAGCATATGCAGAACTCTGTTGCTGAGGTACGATCGCGTGTCCAAAGACGCAGAACGAATAAAATGGCTTATTAAAGATACGTGGAGGAAGATGAGAGAGAAACGATGTGCGGAGTCAACGCCTTCAATGGAGGTGAAGAGACGACGAGAAGTGATGGACACAGCAGCAAATGATGATGATAAAAACACTACATCCAGCTCACTACAGTTCACCGACAGCGCTGCAGCTAAGGCCAGTCAGCTCTTTATTTGAGATCCAATTCAGCGTTTAGAGGGAATCCGTTATTTAAGCGGTTGATCAGAATGTAATGTACCTTAGTAACCAGGTGGAAGAAAGCGTGATGGAATACATACTAAATGTAGTATAACTGTATTAAAACGTGCAAAAAATCATCTGAAAGAAGTACATGTTTAATTTATTAGATGTACAGGAGCTGGTAACAGGTAATTTTATGTTAACCCATTCTGTTGATTTATTCCAGGAGAAACTGAAAACTGCATTGAAACCATTGCAGGTGAAGTTGAGAATATTTCAGGAGTTTCAAAAGACTTCGCTTCAAACCGCAGAACATATTAAGGTAAGGAGTTATTAAAGTTTAAAAGCAATGAAGCACTCTTGCATTGTAAAATGTGTGTGTATACTGTATGTTTATGTGTATATAGAATATAGATAGACATTATAGACATTAGTTTTCAGTTTCAGGCTCAATACACCGAGGGGCGGATCAAGGAGGAGTTTGTGAAGCTTCGCCAAAGTTTGTGTAATGAAGAAGCAGCCAGGAAAAAAGCACTGAGGGAGGAAGAAGAGCAAAAGAGCCAGATACTGAGGAAGAAGATTGAGAAGATGAGAAAAGAGATGTCATCTATTTCTGCCACAATCGCAGCTGTAGAGGAGGAGCTGAAAGCTGAAGATGCTTTTTTTCTGCAGGTATGAAGTATTTTTTGTTTTGTTTTAATATATAGAAATTACACCATTTTCATTTTAATAGAGCTGAATGCAAATTTATTATTTTCAAGAATTCTAATTTAGTCTTGTTGCATAACTTACATTTCTCTTTTTTTTTGTAGAACTATGATGCCACTTTGAAAAGGTTTGTATCGTTTCTCCTCTGTTGTTCTGAACTCAGACCCACAGCATCACTGACTACTGAGTGTTTTCCCAGAGTTTCCCAGTGTAAAGCGCCAGATCCAGAGGACATTTCTGGAGTTCTGATCAATGTGCCAAAACACCTGAGCAACCTGAAGTTTACTGTGTTACAGAAGATGCAGAAAACTGTTGATTACAGTGAGTAAAGCACACAATGAATTCATCTCCATCGTAAGAGTCATTTATTTTGTTTCATGTTTGTGTGTCTCTCTCTTCAGCTCCTGTGACCTTTGACCCCAACACTGCTCACTGTAATCTCATCCTGTCTGAGGATCTGACCAGTGTGAGATACAGCGATGAGGAACAGACTCTTCCTGAGAATCCAGAGAGATTCGACATGTTTGCGTGTGTTCTGGGCTCAGAGGGCTTTGACTCTGGCTCTCACTGCTGGGACGTTGAGGTCGGAGACAGTACAGGCTGGTTCCTCGGAGTGATGACCGAATCTGCTCAGAGGAGGAATAAAATATTCTCAAGGAGTGGAATCTGGCTGGTGGGTCATTTCTGTGGTGAATATAAAGCACATGAACCACCACAATCACCAGCTCTCCTCCCAGTGAAAGAGAAACTGCAGAGGATCAGAGTTCAGCTGGACTGGGACAGTGGAGAGCTGTCGTTCTCTGACCCTCTTACTGACACTCATATGCACTCTTTTACACACACGTTCACTGAAAGATTATTCCCATTCTTCGGTGTTGGCTGTGACATTTCTCCTCTTCTCATCTTACCTGTAAATTCCTCAGTAAAAAAAGATTTGCCATAGATCAAGATATTAATCTTGACTTAAAAGTTGTCTTCATTTAATAATCTTTGACTCTGCTGCTGATGTTTAGACATACAAAGACTCATGGCTGTATTAGATCAAATGGGTGCTTCTACTAAATACTGAGCATTTTTCAGTTTTTCTTTTTTAATAAATCTGCAAAGATGTCAACAATTCTGTGTTTTTCTGTATGTATGGGGTGCTGTGTGTACATTAATGAGGAAAAAAAATTAACTTAAATGATTTTAGCAAATGGCTGCAATATAACAAAGAGTGAAAAATTTAAGGGGGTCTGAATACTTTCCGTACCCACTGTATATAATAAATAAAGAAATAAAACATGATTATTGACGAAATAATGCTGAGTCTATTAAAAGGCATGTACATATTTAAAGGAATAAATACCCAAAAATTAAAATTGTCATAATTTTCTCACCCTCGGATTGTTCCAAACCTGTAAGAATTTCTTTCTTCTGCTGAACACAAAAGAAAATATTTTGAAGAATGTGGATAACCTAACAGCTGCTAGTCTCCATTGACTTTAATAATCCACAGAGATTATATATCTAAAGTCTTTTTTGTTTATATGAAGGAAGAAAATCATACATTGTGTATAAACTATATGTCCCGTTCATGTTAGGCGATTCAAATTTTACCTCTGATTAGATTATGACAACAACAGGTTTTTGGAACCTTTTGATCAGTGATTGAATTCTATTTACAATTTTTTATTCAATTGCTCTCACAGCAGTGTTGTTATTGGCAACTAAAACTATTAAAAACCTTAATTACCACTTTTGGTAATTAAGCTGAAGTACAATAAACATTTTGGATGTAAACTTAAAAAAAAAAAAAAAAAAAATTAGAAATGTTGCCATGGCCATTTATTAAAATATGTTCTTAAATTAAAATATGTACTTAAATTTCTAAAACAGAAATAAAAATAAATTAAGGCTATTTAGAAATGTTAAAAACTAATAATTATAACAAGCTCATAAAATTAAAATGAAAACTGAACATGCAAAAGCTTATTTAAAAGATGAATAAATAATATAATTATACATAAATAATAATAAAATAACATTGTTTTACATAGTGTACAATTTCTAGGTAAAACAATGAAACCTTTTAAAACTTATTTAATGTTTATTTTATTTATCCAGACTTTTAATGACTGTGGGAACTCAAATAATCAACACCATTTGAATTACAAATTGTATTTAATTTGCATTTTCAGAATTACAATTACTTTAGCATGTTAATCAGTGATTATGGAAATGGTAGTTTCAAACTATTACATGTTACACGGTACACATGAAAGTCCATCTCCTTGGTCTTGCTGCCACAAAGTTTTTTTTCCCTCCTCTGTCTTTTCATCTCTTCCCACTATCAAACTCACTTTGTCTCAGTGGAGATCTGCAGTAGAGGCGTGCTGATCTCGCTGGACTGGTAACTGCTGGTGACTCTCAGCAGGCAGCTGAGCAGCATGTCTTTGGCCCGAGCCGTCTCCATGTTCTGCTCACGGCTCAGCTGGAGAGTCATCTGGTCCAGGCTGGTCTGCAGAAGCTCAGAGGCCATGACGGGCCTGGCCGCCGCAGGTCCCTCGGTCAGGTACTGCTTGTACAGCTCCAAAAGCTTCTGTTCCAAGTAGCCGTTGAGCTGTGAGTTAGAGAGAGGCCGGATAAATTGCAGAAGAGAGGGACGCTCGCGCCCGCTTTCTTCCCTCCAGCGCCTCGAACTCCTGTACTCATGGACCAGAGGAGGCAGGAGGGAGGGGGAGGGAACATCCCCAGACAGGAGGAAGGGCCCAGTGTGGGGGTCCTGAATGAGATTGCCATGTACATCCCCTGCGCTGGGGCTGAGCGGCAGCACCTGGCCACCAGCAATGTGTAAATCGCTGTAATGCTGGCAGATGCTGTGGCAGCTTGAGGGCACCAAAAAGGCCTCTGTTACTGGGGCGTCCGCATGCCTTGGGATATCCACACCTATGGCGAGTTGCCGTCCTGCCGCAGGGTCCATGGGGGAAGGATGGGCATCGCTCTGCTGGGTCTTGGTCCGGGTTGTATTCTTTAGGGATGAGTGGACAGGGCTTTGTGCTGAGAGGAGGTATCTCGGCGGAGACGATGATTGTGCCGTGACCGTGCAGCACATAGGAGGATTTACACACTCTGGATCAGCTTCAAACACCAAACTCCACAGCTTACCTTCACACAACATCTGCAGTACACAAAGACAGAAGTTAAATCGGTTCACGCTCAAACTCAAAAGACCAAGCATTCAAAAGTTTATTTCAGCGTTTACACGTTTGTTTGTTTTTTTTTAGAAAGAACAAAAGAAGGAAATACTTTGAGCAAGGGTGCATTATATTCATCAAAAGTGACAGTAAAGACATTTAGAACGTCAGAAATTTCAATCACAGATATTTCAAAGAAATGCTGTTCTTTAGAATCCTGAAAAAATGCATCACGTTTTCCACATGAAAAAAAATAAACGGTAAGAAATGTTTCTTCAGCATCAAATCAGCATTTTAAAAAGATTTCTGAATGATGACATGGCACTGAAGACTGGCGTGATGTATTCATGTTGAAAATTCAGCTTTGCTATCATGGGAATTAAAATAAATATTAAAATACATTCAAAATTAAAAAAACAGTTATTATAAATTGTAATAATATTTTACAATGTTACTATTAATGTTATATTAGACTTCTTTACAAAACATTAAAACTTTTCAAATGTAGTGTATATTAAAAAAATAAATGATTATAAATAAAAAACAATATAATAGAAAACTATATATATACATATATAAACTGTATCTAAAGATAAACTACACACAGTGGGACTTGTGAAATCTCAAGGCTGGCCCATGGGCAAAAATATAATATCATTGCTCAGTCCATCTCACATTACCCCAATATAAAGGAATCTTGGACATATTCATTCATATTCGCATCACCATCTTCCACAATTGAATATGATTTTCATTACCAAAAACGTCAGACCAACTAACGAGACTAAAATCCAGCTAGAATATGGGTGACAAAGGGAGAATTACCATAGATAGATATATAAAGTTTCCTAAGCTTACCTTTTTTCTACTGAAGAATTTTTGATTGTTGAGCTGCGGTGGTTCTGTGCAGTTCTGTCTCTTTCTCTGAGTCTCTGCCGTTTTTATGCACTGCTGTAACGGTTTTTATTTCACTGTAAGTGAAAGTTATGCTATATTTGTTCAGTTTTATGCTCCACTGAGGGAGGAAGTGAAAGTATGTTGAGATTCTGTCTTCCATGTAAATTTGGAATCACATTTATGTGCATTTATGCATGCCTGTTCTCATGATGCAAGCTTGTTATATTCATTACAATAGACTTCAATGAGCGGTGCAGCCATCAACAGGTTAAGAGTATTTCCACACACCTCAGACAAGCGCACCCACTCCCTTTGCTGTGTTTCCCCTAGACTTCCAGTCTTTTTTAAGAGGGTTGGTCATTTCCATAATTGAGAGTATATTAACTTTAAGTATATAAAACATAAATTAAAGTGAATTAAAGGACTGTCTGTGCTAACAGGTGAAGGACCATGGTCCTATTCTGGGTATTTATTGGCACTGTTGTAATCTGTAATTCTTTTTCTCTTAAACTCTTTCACGCTACTTCATGCAGCTGTCATATTTTGCAGTTTCATTAGAATGAAAAATGTCTCTATAGACCACATATTTCCCCTAAAACCAACGTTTGCACCTGCAGCTTTTTGGATTCTTATGTAACAGTGAGTCTTCATTTCCCCAATACCAATGTAATTCAAACCACTACTAGACATGTAGATTGAACACCCGTCCACGTAGCGGTGGTTAATCGGCTAAAGGGTCGGTGACAAAATGCTGCATCACCTACATTCATTATTCATGTGATGATCTGTCTATCTTATATAAAAAGAAAGATTACCTGATGAACCAACAAACAAGTGAACAAGCACATTATAGGCTTTCTCGCAATGTTCTCCCAGTATGCACTAAACTAGATATGCACAAGCAGAACATTGTTTTCAGAATAATGTCTGTTAAAAATAATTAGTACTTCTTTAGGCAGACAAAAATTCAGATCACAAAGTCAATAAAATGTTCTTATGTTTTAAGGTGTACAACAACCTGCGGAGAGTGTCATGCCATTTTTATTATTGTTGTTTTATTTTTTTCCATGCCGGTTCATTATTGTGCTTTAATCTATTTCCCACACACAAAAAAACGCATTTAACGCAAGACCCTGTCAGAAAATATCCGTTTTGTCTGGTAACACTCAGCAAAGTTGTCTAATACCCCCCCAAAAAAAAACGTTAAAGGCACAATATGTAAGATTTTTTTATTAAAATATCCAAAAACCACTAGAACAGTGTTATATATTTTTGCTGACTTGTGTATTTACATTATCCCAAATGTTTCGAAGAATGTTTAAATCCAGAGAAATAAGCAATTTTCTTCGACGGCTTTCAGCCTCACCCTGCTTCATTCTACTACGTTAATAAATCATTAGCTCATCCATGAACATGATTTCTGCCCGAGTCCCGTCGGATTGCTTCGGCTGTGGGGATGAAGACCACAACTCCCATGATTCCACACTCAGTCACGGCATCATCAAACTATGCCTTTGTCTCTTTGTTTATTTTGAATACGAGCCCTCTAGTGGCGAAAATTACATATTGTGCCTTTAACAGCAAGTCTTGTCCGGTACCCAAAACCAGTGTTTTGTCTGGTACCCTAAACTGTATTAACAGTCTTCTAAAAGCCAAGAAGTTGACTGAGTAAAGTCAGAGAAGAGCAGAAAAAAGAGAGACAAGCTGATGATAGTAAAAAGGAGCAAAGTTTATTGAATAATCTCAGTTTCAATGCTCAGACTTTATCTGACCAGCACAAATGTAACAAGTGTAACAACATCCCACACAACCTTGCATTTGCGATATTCCCTCTCATCTCTTATTCGTGAACACACGTTTCATGAAACTCCACAAATCATAAGATTAAACAACTATAGGAAACACTATAAGCAAAGATAATAAGAAATATAACATAATAAAATAGTTATTGAATAAATTATTAAATGATAAATGAGATAAATAACTAAATAATTAAATGTAAATAATCAAATGAAAAATTAGGCCTCCTTAAATGGCTGATGCTTATAAATGATTGTATGATTATATATGAGTAAATGATAATAAATGAATAAAAATAAGATAATAAAACACAAATGTATGATTGCTATCCTGAAGCAACACACACACAGTTTGCATTTGAGGATCCATATGCTTCAATACACACAAGGAATAAACTCCCTTAATGGAGACCACACAGCTCCCAGAGTCCACCCAATACCCCACCAGAAACTTTAGCCATCCTGCCGTAGTGGCTCTAGCTCAAGTGTCTGAAGCATTTGTTTAATATGAATGGATTCTGTTCTCATCTTTGCATTTATCTTCCTGAGACCCAGCAATTCATTATTCTTAAATAAGTTCTGATAATATATATGAGACACATCTGTCTACGATGTATCCACTGATAATTTAAGTATTGTCATTCAGTAACAGGAAAAACAAAGTTCTTTTGTAATATGTTTCCAACATGCCATCAAGTCAAACCTAAAAGCATCACAGAACATCAGAGTTAATTTCAATATATTTAAATGTATTATTTTATGATAGTTTTAAATTAGTAACAACAACTATTATTGTCTAATTGTCATATGTTCCCATTTAGCTTGCTATTTTTATATTTAAAAAATAAATTTGTATTAACTTGTTAATGTATGTGGGTTAAACACAAATGTAGTTTTCCTTTTCCATCTTTTATCTATATATTCAGTTACATACAGTAAATGTTAAATAACGTTCTTATTATTTATAATTATAAGCTTATTTAGTTTCTTAAAGATATCTATAGAAAGTTTTTATTCAGAATATTTAAATGCAGTTCAAAAACATGAAAGAAACAGTCAATTCTTTATAGGAAAAATTATTTAAAAAAATATTTGTCTGAACTAAAGGATTAGGAAAATTTAGTTTTCATTTTCCATCTTTTATCTATAGTCAGTTGCATATATATATAAATGTTAAATAATTTTTCTGAATTATAAGCTATATTTAGAAAGAAAAGTAAATAGATTACAATAGCTATTATTTAGGAGATTCTTTATCCAGGGTGATTTATGGTTTACCTGAAGCATCCTGAAATTGTGTGCACACACATCTACATTCTGATTAAATATTTTTTATGCATACGAAAATGCATGTGATGTAACATATGCATTATAGGGCTAACTGTGATAGCCAGCACATGTGTGTAGCCTAATACGTCTAACGCTGGTTAATTATTCATATGTTAGTGTAGAGTTACAAGCGCACCGTCTCCATGGCTGCCTAAGAAACCTACCATGACTTCTTTCATACGGTAAGAAATGGTCATCCCTTGCAATATGTCCTTAACGCGTTTGGATCAAAAACAGCACTTCGGCACCATGGACAAGATCTCCATCTTGGCTCTGAATTTCTTCAAGATATAAAGAAAGTTTTCGCGCGGAGAGGGATATGGAGAAGCAGAACAGGCTGACTATCACCAATAAAAGTAATTTTACAGATTTAAAGGTTACTAAACAAGCAAGCTAAGTACATTTTTGACGCGTTTTAAGCTTTTCAAGTGATTTACGGTATAAAGTGTTTTGATCAAGGGCACAATGGTGATAGAACCCTCGTGGGGTTTGAACCAACATCCTTTCTCATATCAGCCCAGATATTTAACCACTAAACTGCAGCACCCAGACACCGACTGTGATGTTTAAGAAAATCAACGCAGTTTTCCGTCCGAACCTCCTTGGACCTCGCTCACGGGACCGGTTCAGGCCCAATGAGGACTACCACAGCGCGTGCACCGTCAAACTGGTCCGGAGCACGTCGATGCTCGTGGTGGGGGAGAGCAGTCGCGCGCCGCAGGACTCCACGCTGAAGCGAAGCGTGAGCGCCGTGAGTGTCGAGGCCAGCACGGCCCTGTACTACTACCAGAGCCGAGAGGACAGAGTATGGCTCTACTCCCAGAACCAGAACTGCTTAGAGTACTTACAGGAACTGGTCGCGCTCAGGCGGCAGTACACCAAGAGCATCAACGACCTCAAGAACAGCGAGCGCAAAGAGACCGCGTCCCGCAAGAAGAACCCCGCACCCCGGCCACCGCAAAACAGAGCTGCACAGGTGAGAGGAAACAGGACAAGGCTTACATGTTTAAACATAAAAGAAGTTTTGAACATTGTTAGGGCAAAGTAAAGCAAGTTATGCCAATTTGTCTGCTATCAACTGAAATCTGTATTAGCCTATATCTGAGCATTCTGTGTTAAAAAATATAAGTAAGTTCAGTCTTATTCTGTATATTATTTATTCTCTTAAGGATAGCCTATTTATAATCTAGTCGTGAGTTGTTTATTAAGAATATTCCAATGCAGATGTTTGGCTATTCATTTTTAAGAGGTACAACAGTTTTAGTTTTGTGCTTTATCAGTTCTAGCACAGCCAACATACAGTGCTGTTGCACTACAATCATCCCGAGTTCGAATCCCGGTTCGAGGACCCGCCCCCTCTCTCTCCCACTTCGTTTCCTGTCAACTCTAAACTGTCTCTAAACTCTAAAATTTATCATCAGTCAAAAACGCCAAAAAAAAACAAACAAACCTAGAAGGAACCTGTGCTAATGAAGTTAGTTTAAATAAGCAATGCAACTACGCATGTACAATATATATAATCTTATTTCAAAGACTTCAAGGCCTGAACCTTCTGCTCCACCAATCCCAAATGAGGAAGACACACTCCAGTTCTTTGATGAAGTCATTGCAAGCTGTGACCCAGAGCCAAGTCGAAAACCACATGTGGACAATGGGCATGCAGATGTAGACTTCATAGGTGAGTGTGGAGCTTATTACTTAATCTCTAGTGTACTCTAAAGGCAGCATGGAAGATGCAATTGTGGGATGTTGCACATCTTAACAGAAAAATTGGTTAACTAGTTTCAGTCCTTAGTTTTTTGTTTGTTATGTCGGTTTCTCTCCATACTCCCATTGTAATGTTTCTATAGTGGCAACTAGTACCAGCGAGCATGACCTTCATTCTAACTGGGTGCTTCGGGATCCTCGTCGAATCTCCATGACGGAGTCGCAGCCCAAGGATTCAGAAATCAGTCACGGGCAGGCAGCCCAGCGGAAGGGGGACATGGGAAGCACAGGCAGCAGGAGACGTCTGCAACGAAACCCAATCCACCTGCCAAAAGTGGTGGAGAGTGCCTTTCAGACTCTGCGATTCAAACCCAAACTCAAGAAGAAAGACTAGCTGCTTAAGCTGTTCCACTTGTTGCGCCCAGAGGACAACTAAAACTTCACAGATGTGTGTGAAGAAGTTGGACCTGGAAGAAAGAATAAGGAATAATCTGACTCACCACAGAAGATGTGAGCTCTGTGACGTAATGTCAGTGCTTACTCACTGCCAGAGCTTCATAAATTATCCACAGCAGATCAGAATCTCTTTTTCAGTAGCTCGCCATAGCAAACGCTTAAGGCCATTAACAGAGCGTAACCACTGAACAATCACCCTGCGCACTGATTCCAGACAGAGCAACTGGAATTTCCTTATCACAATAACACAGATCTGAGGATCACCTATCTGATGAACTAGTCAGATAATTAGACAGGGATCAGACATATGAGTGATGCAAAACACATCAAGGCCAAGGGGCTAGCTATTAACTGCCTAATTATGATAGGTGAGTCTTAATTAACCAAATGCAAAACTAACACCTCTACTTTGCATTTAAGTCAAGTCTAATCTAATACAGTAAATCTTTGGGGATCCTTACTATAGCATTTTTTAATATAAATCCCTCAAACTGGTACTAGGTGCCTTAGTGTGTAGGTTTGTACAATCTTTTTTTGTTTGTTTATAATGTCTATGATGATTTGTGGTTAAGTAAGCTAAGCAGCAAAAGAGTGCTCAATTGTGTGTTAACTACTTCAGATGTATTTCTACAAGTGAGACTGTTTTTTAAAGCATTAAAGCCTATAAAGAGGAACTAGATGCATGTGTTTGAATCCAGAGCTAAAAATGTCAGGTTTCTTTTTTTTTGAAAAAAGGAAGCAGGAATTGGGTATTACCCTTTCGTACTATAAAAACTAAGATCACAATAACAACAGGTGCAATGAGTCTTTATCAGCAAATAATAGTGAATAAAGTTGAAGGAAATTAACTACTACTACTACATACTGAAGCTGCTATCTCAAATCATGGACCAATGAAGAATGTTATATACATTAGCGTTTAAATTTTGGGGTCAGTGACTTTTTTGTTTTTTTAAGAAATTAATACTTTTATTCCACAAGGATTCATTAAATTCACCAAAAGTGAAAGATTTTTTTTTTTTTTTATAATTTTAGTACAGCTTTGCATTAAGCACAGCACATAATGAGTGGCAAACAAATCAATTGGAGCAGAAATTATTTTCTAATAACTTTATTAGCAAAACGTTTTGACACTCACACAAACACTCACTCAGTTCTTCTCTTGTTTGACTTTGGGGCTGAAGAATGCTGACAAGCTCTTCATGCCAGTTTTGTCTACTTTGGCAAGACTCTTCTGAGCTGCAGTCATCTTCTTTGGTGGCTGAGATAACATATTTTAAATATTAGATTTATCAAAACTGTAGCACAGTATCTAAAATTAAGCAGGAAATGCATTTACGACCAACAGTATTTGAAGCATGAACTGCTGAATGATTTTTTTAGGCATAGACAGAGAGAAAAGGACAGTTCTGCTGTAGCATGCAATTCCATTTCTTTCAATGCTTGTATCACCAATCCCATCACCACTGTGTTTGCGATTCTAACTCACTTTTCGTGCAAAATCAGCACTGTTGAACTTGGTGTAGTCTTCCCCAGCCTCTACTGGTTTATCTGACAGTTTCCGTTTCTATCAAATGCAAGACAGCAGTCAGAAAAACCAAGTCCACCAAAAGATCTTTTGAATCTAACTGAACTGCTACACCATTCCTCTAACTACATTCAGAAACAAAGCATTTATGATGCTGCATGAAACAATGACAAGCTGATTGAGTTTAAGAAGAAATAGGAATCAGAAAGCAAATGATTAACAAGGCATAAATTCAAGTAAAGCAAGACCAGACACAACCCTCTACATTGCGAGTAAATGTCTAATATTAGCCAATGGCTAATAAATTCTCAGATTTTACTCGCCAGTGTGTGAGTTGGAGGCTGAGTATGATTAGCACAGATATATTTTCACTCACAGAACACTCTGACTGAGCGCTTCAGAGTTTCACTCTCCGTCAAGCGATCTGTGATATTTTTCAGTTCATTTGAATGGATGCGCAGCGCACCTGTGTTTGTGTATTTGGCGTAACGTAAACTCTAGTGTGAAGGCGCACGACTCGCCGTCGCTTTCTCTCACACGCGCAAAGAGCGAGAGAGAGTCTTACATAACATGCAGAATTCATGCGCTACATGTAAACGATATACTTTGTTGTATTTTCCTGTAAAAATAACGGAGTTCCTTTGGAATTCTTCAGCTTTTAAGAACTGCCGGGTTTTCCTGTAGTAGGCGGAACTAATGCGCAAATGACAATCTCATTGGCTGGTGCTCACCTATTATCGTCCCTGTTTTGATTTCAGCAAATCAGTTCGAGCGAACGCACACAACCTGATTAATATTCATGAATCCAGTAGCTGAGCCAGGCGCGAGTCGACACAGGTTGCGCGCGTGTGTCAAGCCTCGTCCATACTGCCAGATGCGCTCGTGGAGACTTGCGGAGCCGGGTGCGAGTATAAACGAGCATTACGAGACAGGCTGCGTGAGTGCGGCAAGCATGAACGGCTCGTCCGTGACGATAGTATAGTATTTCAGTCTGGTGAGTAAACAAAAAAATTTACTAGCCAATGGCGATTCAATTGCCAAGGTGTCCGTAGAGGGTTGAGACATAATTCAACTATTAACATTCAAGCATGGCAGTAGCATGCAAATAGTGAAACAAAACACTGGTATTTCAAGCAGAAAGATGTACCTTAGAAGGCGGCTCTGTCTCTTTAGGGCTGGATATCTCTGGCAACCTTGTAACATCAGAGACAAAAAAATGTTGTAACTACATAAGCATAACTATATGAATGTCCTGCATGTTTCAGAGTAGTGGTCAACTGATATTGACTTTTTTTTATGACTGATGCAAAAGAGAGCACGGTGGCCAAGGCCGATGTAAAACCGCTATATATGATATCACACTGTTTAAAGATACATGCATAACAATTGTTGAAATTAAATTAAAATGTATTTTACATAACATTTACAAATTATACAGTGGAGGCCAAAATGATTAGAACACTAGTATTTTCACCAGCTAAAAAGGGTAGGTTTCTTGAAGCATCTTGGAGATGTTGCCACAGTTCTTCTGGATTTAGTCTGTCTCAGTTTGTTCTGTTTCTACATGCCATTCCTTGTGCAAACAAAAATCTCACCGGATTATTACAATTCATGGCAAAATGAATGTTTGGAAATGTAAACTTATTTCCTACTGACACACTACAGCAAAAGATAGAAATAACTGACTTAAAACCATTTAGCTGGTGAAAATACTTGCGTTCTAATCATTTTGGCCACCACTGTATAATTTGAAAATAAATAAATAATTTGCATGGACCAACAATTAACGTGTGTTTATGCATGTGTTCATGCAGTCTACAAATGCACATTTTAGAGGATCTCTGAATTTGAGTTTGTCATTTTAGTGAAATGAAAGATATAAATATAAAATATAGATATAAAAAGACTCGATTAAATGAAATGCGTATTTGCTGAATGCTGATAGTAGATGAGAAACTATTATAACTATTTTGCTTTTCTATTACTAATAATAAAGCAACGCTGTAATACTTTTTTTGTGTACCTTAAGTTCTGTGTAATAATTTATTAATCAGAACTGTTAAACAGAGATAGTAAACTAACAAAGACAGAGAACGGGAGCGTTGTGCGTTTAGGTGCTGGTCAAAATAAAAGTCCCACTTCTGGTATATCACCAAACAGAAAAAAATTACTGGATGATGCCAATAATTTAAAAAATTCTAAATATCGGCCGATATATTGGCCTTGGCAATATATATCGGTCAACCACTATTTGTGAGGTGATGTGAACGATCAGTGTTTGATCAGTGTAGGTGTACATACTGCAGATGCTTGAGGAGAGTTTTGCTCAGGTCTTCACTGATGTACTCTGATATGAGACCATGTGCATAACGTAAGTAGTCCTCTAAAAGAATAACAAATACACTAACATTAGTAAATAACCCATACAAACATAATCCAACCATATTTATTTATCCTTTTACCTTCAGTAGCATTTTCATGTTTCACTCTGACGAACATGCTGGATTTCACTCCTCCACCCACAGATATGTTGCTCTTTTTGAGTGTTATTACTGTGCGTTGGACCTGAAAGACATTTTTAAAATATTTTTAAATGCAACTTAAATACTCATTGTTGATATAATTTATGATTCTTATACAAGTTAAACATTTTATAAACCTTTTTCTTGAGCCACTCCAAGGTCTTCTCCTGGTTATATCTGTGAAACTTTAAACCGTCTACCTCTGAAAAAGAGGATTCCATTTTTTTTTTTATTCAACTAAATTTGGACATCACACTGTATCTGTAACTAATTTGGCCTATATGTGCCTATAGATTCAAACACACACCTGTCTCATCAGCCACATGATGAAGGGAATCCAGTCCCTGTTTGCAATGCAGAAGTCTTGTGCATCCAGGGTAATCCTCATCCATAATCATCTGCTTTGCCGGCTGGAACTTTCCCTATAGGAAGAGTGCTGTCATTACAGATGAAGCTCATCTTAATGGCTTTTACTGTAATATTTGCATTTTAACTACTTGTTAACCTCAGTGGCAGTACTGCTAATGTATGGCAACAGCAGAAATAAAGGATCAATGGGAGTCACATACAGCAGTCTACCATCTGAGGACACAGATACAAAAGTGAACAATTAGTTCATTTAGATGTCAACAGCAGATTACTAAACGTTGAACATGTAAATGGATGTCGAATGGATAGCTCATGTTCTGTAAGGAAAGCTTACCTCTTTGCACTGTCTGTCCAATGAACCAAGACCGAAAGTCTTCAGAAAAGGCTTTTACTTCATAAACACAGACATCACCACAGCCAAACAGGTACAGTGAAGAACTGCCTGCATTCACAAATAAAGGCAGAACTGTCAGTCAGTTGCAGTTTATTTAGATAAACCTCTGATAGACATCACCACTACATACTACTAAACTGCAAGTTGTTGTTAATTTAATTGATATAGTAATACCTGTAGTATATATATATATAAATTATATTAGCTTTATTAAAAGAAAACAGAATAGCATGGAGATTTAGGTGGGCTATACTGACCCTAAAGTTTGCATACTTACTAATGCAACATTTGTCATTATTACAAAGCCTCAGTAAAATATGTTGTGCAATGAAGACTGCGTATACAATGTTTCTGAAAGAACATGTGTGTAACATGCAACACAATAAACTTGAAAATGTAAGGTACCTGGAGCAATGACAACCCAGCTGTCGTTGTCGGTGTGCGCAGACCGTTTCTTTTTAGTAGTCATTTCAAGGACTGACTTAAAAAGTTAAACTGTATCAAGAGGTTGTCTGATGATAATGTAAGAACGCAAGACCTGTTAGTAGAGCTTCTGCCTTCAGAAAAATGGCGGCAAATATTTGTGTACAGTACAGATAGGGTGTAAAACTCGAAGTGACGTTTTGTTCTGATACTACTTCACGTCTGGTTAAGCTTATATAACAACTTTTTTCAATAGTGTGTTTAAATAAAAAAAATCTTATCCAAAATCTCTAATAAATGTGAAAAGAGAACAGCGCCTAATTTGAAACCGCGTCAACAACCACCCCTCTCTCAAAATGGTACAGTCAGTCTCCCAGCATTTCTTAAAGACATAGTAGCACATTTATTTTTGGGAAGATCTTTCTCAATATTCTTCGCATTGTTTCGTAATTATTTTGCGTGGCATGATATTTATTTAAAAGTCAACAAATATGGATCTCGCATATTTACCTTTTTGCAATCTGTTGGTCGTCTGCTTAAATGACAGTAATAAACATAAGTTTGCCGTTAGCACTGGGACAAAACAAAAAACAAGAATATTTTGTGAATTTAAAAAAATCTGGATTCATCTGTTTACCTTTGAAAAATTAGAGGCAGAACCCAAAGCGCTGTACCCAAAGATAAACAAATCAGCTTTGACAGCTTTGTGTGTAAGATGTTATAATTTATATAGCATAAGAAGTATTGAGAAAACTGAAATAATGGCTGAAAGGTGAGTGATAATATGTGACCCTGGACCACAAAACCAGTCATAAGGGTAATTTTTTCGAAATTAAGATTTATGCATCATCTGAAAGCTGAATAAATAAGCTTTCCATTGATGTATGGTTTGTTAGGATAGGACAATATGTGGCCGAGATACGACTATTTGAAAATCTGGAATCTGATGGTGCAAAAAAATCAAAATACTGAGAAAATCGCCTTTAAAGTTGTCCAAATTAAGTTCTTAGCAAGGCATATTACTAATCAAAAATTAAGTTTGAAAATATTTACAGTAGGACATTTACAAAATATCTTCATGGAACATGATCTTTACTTAATATCCTAATGATTTTTGGCATAAAAGAAAAATCAATAATTTTGACCCATACAATGTTTTTTTGGCTATTGCTACAAATATACCCCAGCGACTTAAGACTGGTTTTGTGGTCCAGGGTCACATATAATGTCATAATTTTGACAAAATCAAATCAGATATAGGATACATTTCTGATAAGAACAATTTCAATGTGGAAATTAAAGCTGCAAGCAGCGATGAACGGGCCCTCGCACCCGGGCTCACCGCCAGGGGGTGGCTTTAGTAAAACAGCGAACGGCGAGCAATATGCATTTAAAGTGGTAAATATAGGAGGAATATGTCAAAGTCATTTATATTTCGTGAACCTAGGAGAGGAGGTAATTCTGACTTTGCTATGACAATCTGGCGCTTCTGAATCAGCTACTGTTTTGTTATTAGTTTAAGTATTTGCTATTGACTGTTCAAATGCGGAGTTTTGTGCATCGTGTGTATGTGTGCGCGCGCTGTGTGTGTGTGAGTGTGAGAGAGAGCGAGAGAGACAGGGTCGCATCACAGTGGAGTCAGCTGTCTTAACCGTGGCTTGTGTACTGCAAACACATACCAGCTTCATCACTGTGTCTGTTACGCGACTCTGTTCCCCTTTCGGGCTCTGTCTTTACATTTATTTTGAAAGATGAAGCTCGCGATTATGGTAAGAGGCTTTACATTTCCGACGAGTGCTTGCGGTGTTCGGCCAATCACAATGCGCTGGGTCAGCTGGCCAATCAGAGCAGACTGCACTTGTCTGAAGGAGGGACTTTGTAGAAAACGAAGCGTTTGAGGGAGGCGGGGCATAGAGGACTTACAATAATGTACAGTATTTGAAAAATAATGTGTTTTTTGAACATTAAAGCATGTCAACGTATTCTGTTACACCAAATACACAAAATAATAATCTTTAAAAAAGCATCATATGACCCCTTTAATATGTTCCTAGGAGTCCATAACAGTGTTAAGCTTGACACTTCCTGTTGCCAGCAGGTGGCGCTATGAATATAACTGAATTTGGGCATGGGTATTTGTTCAGAACATAACATCTATCAAACGTGTGAAGTTTGGGGCAGATCGGACCTTGCTTGCCTGAGTTACAGCAACTTCCTGTTTCATGGCGAAACATCAAATTTTGTCAGGCCGCCAGGGACACGCCCCTTGACGAAAACTCAAAATCTTCGCAATTTAACGTCACAAAGGCCTTATGATGACCCTCACCAAATTTGAAGATGATCCGATTAAAACTGTTGGAGGAGTTCGTCAAAGTAGGAGGCCAGGAAATGTCAAAAACTGCACAAAAAATTTACAGTAAATTGAAAATAACATACATCCTGTTGGGATTTGGATTTTATACCAAGAGACTTTTTTGTAGGTAATGGTGTGTTACGCATGTGTACCGATTTTCGTACATGTACGTAAAACGTAGCTCGAGGCGCACTCCGTTGAAATTTTACAGGTGGCGCTATCGAGCCGTTTTGCCACACCCAGTTCTGAATATCAGATTTACATATCAGATGTAAATTTTCGCCAGTTCTGACGCGTGTGCAAAGTTTCATGAGTTTTAGAGAATGTTTAGGCCCTCAAAAATGCGATTCACTTTGGAGAAGAAGAAGAAGAAGAAACGGAGCAATTCCAATAGGGTCCTCACACCATCGGTGCTCGGGCCCTAATTAAGTGAAAATATTTTATATACATTATTTAAACGCAGGTTAAGTTATGGGACATGTTTTATACCATGTCTCAACAATTTGTGACCAACAGACAATACATTTAATATAATGAACGAATTTCAGCAACAACAAAAAAAAGAGTAAACATGAGACATGGCATCCTCCATACAAAATTTATGTTTCTCACAGTGACCTCAAGATGGCGCCAGTGTCTTGAAAATGCATAAAGTAATGCCCTTCGATTGAATTGACTGCAGATTAATTGTTAGTTTATTACCTGCATGAACGGTCTAGACATGCTCTAAGCAGTCATAATGATCTTATATCTTAGCTATATCAGTCAGAAAGAAGCTTTTTTGGCACAGCAGATTAGCCTACAATAATCAAAGCATTTAAACATTATAGCCTACAATAAACAGCCTATATGACACGGGAAATAGCCTAAAATTGGTCAAAAATAATACAAAGTACAATAAAAATAACAAATGCTCTAAAACATGGCATGAACAGAGATTATAATGACTTATAAAGCAAAGCAGTAGCCTATATGTTGCGCGGTATATGTTGACTGTGATGTAGAATCCATAGATGCGTTACAGTTGCTCTTTCCTTTTCTCTTTTGGTTTTCAGGATCTTACAACTACACTGTTGTCGCTGAGTCTGTAGGCTACTTCATCAGACTGTGTCTTAGCTTAACATGTCTGACGATTCCCTCTGTCTTTATCACTCACTTTATCTCGTATTGTGTGAGAGGGAAAATTTGTCTTTTTGCACTTGTGTCACTCATTAAAACAGCTAACCAAGACATGTCCTGACACAGTCTATGCGTGTGCATTCATGTGTTGCTGATTAAGAATCAGGGACCCCCTGTTCTGCTATAAGTCTGAGGTATTCAGGTCAACCAAGGTCTGCTGAGCAAGGACATGGTGGAGGGGGAGGAGGGGCTCCAGGACATCCCAGCTGTATAAGAAATTACCATCAAAGAGAAGTTATATACATACTGCATATATTCAGTTGTCAGATGCCATAATTTTCTAAACAAAAAGTCCACCACAGTTTAGATTTTTAATCTATTTCAAATCTTATTTAATATCACATGAATTCTAAACATTTTAAAATATTATTCTGATTAACATGTCTTTACCATCACTCATGTACCAATCTGTTTATAAAAAAAAACTAGGCCTAACTATTAGTTATGAGGTTCATTGCACCCTCTCTGTTCTTTTTCTCACTTCCACAGAGATATGAAACAGACACCAATATTGGGTAACTCCATTAGTGTCATAAGAGACAGACAGAATGAAATCTGGTTGGAAAAAAGAGCATGGCACAACTTCAAGGCACACAGTGACATTTTCAGCTCAGGCTTGTTAAACACATCTGACTTGTTGCTCTGTTTTATAAACTCGTTGATGGAACAGATCAGAATAACGATTCTTATTTTGCATCTGAGCCTTACCTCCTCCCACACACATGCAAAATTAGGCAAACACACCTTGCACATTAACATGCTCCCATAACATTGCTGTAAAGAAAATAGTGGCATTTTACAGGGGTTTTTAGTTTTACTTTTGCACACACTAACACACTCCCGGGAGCAAAGTATAGCCCACACAATGTTTTCCAACTCCACAAACAGGGGTTGACATCGTGTAATCTTACTATAACTCATTGAAGTCACGCGCTAACTTATTAATAATGTGTGCATTATTTATACTGTCAGATGTCCATCTCAATTTATAGGATGATATTTTAGTAGGAGGGGCAACCTACAGAGATGCATTGCATAAAATGACCACAGTTCGTCGGTGTTCATTTTCGGCGAACACGTTGGGAATATCGTGTTTTGACATTACAGGTCTGTCACTAGAGGTCTGATGAGTCAAACTGAGCGTGATCTATTGGATCTATCATTTGACTCGTAGCGACAGGAAATTTGTTTTGACTTTTTTTCTTTCTTTTTTTTACTTATTGGTAGTAAAAACGAAAAATGTAATTTAAAAATGTATCATAAAAATTATGATAAGAGCCAGGCTTTTACTTTCAACAGGATAAAAAGCTCAAACTTGAAGGTAGGCTACTAATATCGCAGGCTTGATGAAACAGTTGGAGGCGTCCATTTATTTTGCGTTGTCTTATTGTGTGATAGATAGCAAACTGATTTGTTTTAAAACTGTTATACATAAACGTGTGGCATTTTACCAAATGTAGCCTACTGCGTTTTTAAATAAGCAGCTTTATATGGATGTGATGATGAATTTATGTATTTTCATACACGGAATTTATGTATTTTCATATTTGGAAACAACAACAGGAAATGAAAGGACACAAACTTATTCGTTAGTCATTCGAGCAGGCAACGTATTTAGTTAATAAATTCATTCGTTGAAAGAGTGAATTCGTTACTCTACATTTTCATTTGTTCAGCAGCAGCTTGAAATCCGAGGATTATGCATTTTTATGTAGCAGAACGACTATATTATTGCTTTAAACTTTTATTTTGCAATTGCTCCTATTACTAACGTATCAAATCGTTGTAAAATACCAGCAGATTGATTGATTGTGTTTGGAATTAATCAAGATGATTTGATTTATCTCTAAGAGAATGAAAATCTTAACGAAAACAGGCAAATATCTGACTGTTTCACTAGTAAAACGGCATAAATATTAATTGTATTACCCTAAATTGCTTAGATCATTTTAATGTGATTAGATTATAGGCTATTTTGCTGGATTCCTATTTATATATTTACTTAATCCTAAAATCACCTACAGCCACGTAGTGATAATCGTTCGCCTGTATTTGCTCGTTTGAGAGTGAGTAGAGGAAGGTTGGAAAATGCTGAAAACCTCACCTCAGCTGTGTCAACAGGCCGTGTGTTTTTGCCTGTTATAAATAGCCCCACTTTCAAATTAACTTCCTAAACGCCACGTGCCATCCAAAATAAAACTATTCAAATAAAATATTCATATCGTAGGCAACATTTAGCATTAATCAGTTGTACGAATCCCTTGTTAATGAACTAGCAGCTGGATTACCCTTAACTTTCGAAGTCACTGTTTTGCATACCCATAAAGGTTGTTTTATAAGTGCTTTTAGACATACGAAAATAAAAAAATACTCAAAGGTGAAAAGTGCTTATTTGCCTTAGGGAACTGAGAGCAAAAAACGTGTAAACCTTAATATGAACAATGTTAAACTTTTATACCATTATAGGTTTAAGAAAAATTGTTGAAACAGAAAACACATGTGCTTAAGCAGTTATGCTTACTGTTGAACGTTCGTGCCACGCATCCTAACCAATGTGAGGTTTAGCATATTATGATATTTGACAGGCTTTAGTTGCCCTAATGCAGTTGAACACACCAAACACCAGCCAATAGCAGAAGTCAGCTGTTTCAAATCACCGTGAGTTCTTTCTTTACTTTTTTCATAAAACACAAATATACTTTCAAATATGCTTATGCAGGTGTACGGCAAAGAAAAAAATGACATGCAGATCAACTTCAAACTTTTAAATCAATGTCTTTTTCTTTTTTATTTCCATGACATGTCATGCACCGAGAAAAATGTTTTTTTTTGTTATCGCGTATCAGTTTGAAGAAAATCTCAAATCTGTACACGATGAAAGTTTCTTACCTCTATCATAACTTCAACAAAATATCTCACATTGGAAGGAGTAGGCTACACAAGATGAGTCATCTGTGAACGCGCACTTGAGCGGATCATAGTACTGCACTTGACATCACTCGCGCAGCTAAAGGTAAAGCCTGGTTCTCGCGCCATGCTGTGGAAACACCACCGGTCTTATGTCGTCGAGATCAGTGTTGTGTGCAGTTATGACACCCGACTCGGTCGCTGCTCTGTAGCACGTGATCTAATCTGATCCAGTGTGGGTCGTAGGGTTTGAGTCTTGAGTATCTAAGGTCGAGCGCTGGCGCTTGGTCTTTTATTTCTTTTCTTCCTCTCGCGCAGCGCTACCGCTCCGCCTCCTCAACGCGCAACTTTGACGCTGTGCATAAATACTGGAACAAAAGAAGAACTTCCTCGATACCTTGTGAAACGGCAGTAAATAAGCTGAAACTGTTATGTGAACTGAAATTAACCTGTAAACGTGCTAGAGAATGTACTTATAACACCCCCCTTGGGTCAAATTATGTCTTCATACACATCCTCAATTTTCCCCTCAGCGCTTTGGGTAAGTGCCATTCATATTGACTTTGAGGTAGCTGCTGATCAGTCTCTTCGCACTGTAAATGAGCATAACTGTTGTAATGTTTGAACATTTTGTGAGGTATTAGAATTCCAGTGGCAGAGCAAGAATAAATGAGGAAATTGAAATGTGTTTTGTTGAAACAATGAAACAACGCAGGAGTGGCAACAGTCGACAGCGGACTATCGGCGTCGACCTATTGTCGAAAAGTTTTTGACTCTTAACTGAATCGCTGTCTTAACATCACGTTGTTAATGTTCTAAAAAGTTGTTACATTCTAGCGTTCCGTGAATCAAGGAAGTTACTGTAAATTGAACAACGCTGTATTAAAACTTAAAAAAACGCGCTGCTTGTCAAATCTTCAGCAACAATTGCTATGTATAAGTTACCGGCTGTCTTCGAGATACGTCGTGTTATTTTAAAGAGTCTTAACAGGTTTGATTTAGAACCGTATTAAACTACTTTATTTGTGTTGTCCATGAACGATTGCATGATGTCCATAACGTGTACAAAGAGTTTTCGTGAGTAGTCTTTTGTCGTGTTGATCTTCTCATGCAGTGAACAAAGAAGCGCGTAGCAAAGGCTCGTGACCCGAGAGCCCGTGGAAAGTAAGCACCCTGTTTACAATAATAACACTAGCTTCATGACGTGGCAAGACTGACGGAGCGCTGCGCCAATGGCGTGCCACGGTTGCTTCGGCAACAAGCTATATTTGGAAAGAGTTACATCATCGGAGGACTGCCTTTGAGGGGCGGGACATCCGTGAAGATTGACGTGCTTGTCTGGACTTGCCTGCAGTGCGCTTTGTTATTACTTTCCCCGCTAATAAAATATAAAAAAAACTGTCACGGATCAAAACACGAAGCATGTTCTTTCAGCATTTTAAAAGCATAGATAAACTAACAGACTATTTCTTTACGATGAAAGTATAATGAATTATCTGTCGTGGTTATTATGTGTAAAGTTGGTCACTTTAACAATTGAGGGGAGGGAGAAAAGGCGACATGGTTTTAATAAATACAATATTAAGTGATTTAATTAATAAGTGTAGAGGTGGATGAATGAAAAGAAAGGAGAAGACCGAGTCTTAACTTGACTGATGTGAATTTGAATGTTGTGGGTGGTGATACTGTTCAGTTGTTTAGTCACCTATTGTGATGGTGGGAGGAAAAGAATAGAGTTTATAGTGGCTTATGACATGCTATAACTTATACACTGAGGTTTTGTTGCAGTTCGAAGTGGCCTTGAGTCGAAGTAATATGGAAGGCCTAAATTTGCGTATGCATACATTTTCAATAGACTGAATTAAACAAGGGATTTGTTAGGCTATATGACAAATTTAGCCTAACAAAATAGATTAGAATAGATTAGAACAATAATAATAGCCAGTAAACTATTAAACTATTAAACTTAAGTGACATGCAAAAGAGTAGGCACAAAAATGTTCCATAAAGGATTTCACTTTAAAAGAAGTTTATTAGGTGTACACATATTCAGTGCAGAGTTGTAGCATTCTGCCTAGTCATCCATGGTGGATAAGTAGAGAACAGTTTATGTTCTTTTCTTTTACTATAGACACACTTCCTGTTGTTTATCTTCAAATGAAATGAGCCAGTTCCTTTTCCCACTGTGCACATCCACTTATACCACCATACACTTAAACACAAAGACACGTTTTGTAGTGTTGACTGCATGTGTAGGAACACTCACTCTCAGATATTTCATGTTTATTTATGTCAGCAGTGTCATGCGAGTTTATGTGGGTGTGTCTAAAAATAAGAAATATGCATGATGCAATGATGCCACCCAATTATTATTTTAGCTAAAAGGTGGGTAGATTATGACTGTAGAATAAAGCCATCATGTTTTCTTTAGCAAAAGCACTAGATACTCTTTATCTTGGTTTGTACAGTTGCAGTTATTGCTTTCAAATTAGGGCTGAGGTTTAGAAAGAATTTAGTCACATAGCCACCAAATACTCCTAAATGCATCATCAGGGGTTGCTGGTCAAATAGTCACAAAGCGGTGCCAAATTTTGAAAGTCATTATCCGAATGATGCAGTCGGCAGTAATCAGAAAGGGGCGGATTTGACAGATGGAGCGCAGTTTCTTTCTTCTCCCAATCAACCTTCACGCTGCTGGTGGTGTGAGTGACGCAGCTCGCAGTTGCTCTCGCTGTCTGCTGCTGTAGTAAAGCGCAGGCTCTGTTGTCAAGCTACTTGCTTTGTCTTCACGGAAAACATCGACTAACGTTCCGTTCATTTCATGTATTCATCCTTGTCGAGCGACTGCACGCGCACTTTCAAAATCGGACATAGAGAAAGAAAGCATGACCGCTAATACCCCGTTTTATTTCCCTCTTAAATTCACGAATGATGAAAAATAAAGCTCGCTCGCTTTGTGATACACGCACCAGAAAAGCAGACACTCCAGCAGATGATACATGTTAATTTTAGCGTTAAATCAACCGCAGTTTTAGCATTGAAAGGTATCTGGTTTTTAAGCAACTGAAACCTTAAATTAAATATTGTATGTAAGCACATACGTTCGCCTGAGACTATCAATAGTGTGAAGGCGATTGCAATGGTAACAATCGTTATTTCAAACACCGACTGGCAGAGCTACAGTTAAACCGTACTCTGTTGGCCGTGTAAGGATATTGTGCGTGGGTTCTGGGTTGCTAGCCGGTTTGAGGGTGCATTTTGTCTCGACCAATCCTGCGCGGTGCTCTAGGTCCCGGCATGCCCAATGCGGGCAGGGGGAGGCTCCGGCCAATTTGAATGAAGACTGGAGCTTTCGGCGCCATTTTCGAGTGAGCAGCTACAGCAACAACAGCTGCGTAGAGAGGCTCCGCACAGTCCAGTAATTTGAGCGAGGGGACACTTTTTTATTTTTGTTTCCAGAAAACAAAGAGAGGTTTTCTTTTTCTGAATTCGACCACAAATTTGAGACTACTGTTTCCCGGTGGATGAATGCGGCGGACACAAAAGACGATGTGTAGTGACAACAAATAGTGAAGTGAAGACTGAAGTGAGCTAGGAGGCTAATCCGGCTAGCATCTCCAGCCGAGAAGGGGCGTCCGATTGGAGCCGCGCTGTGGAAACGATAAATTTTTGTATTCTTTTTCGAAAAAATCTTACAAATACGCGGATGACTTGAAAATTCTATAAAAAATTCTGAAAATTCTCGCAAGCGACGACGAATAGATTGGTGTGGGTTGTTTGGTGGAGCGAGGTGGTTTTGTGCATTTTTTAAACGTTAAGTTTGAGCGGGATTGGTGATGTGAGCGAGACGGCCGGCGAGCCCGACAGCCTATCAGCGAGCGATACACCGGGATGCCACACCGACCAACACTGTCCTATTCTTTACTACAGTTTTTCTTCCTCTTTCAGCGTGAGAACAACGATGACCAGAGTGCCTTTTATTTTCTCCGTTTTTGTTTTTTGCACGAACTGTATGTAACGTTAATGAGTGCGCAGTCAGAATTTTTAACTGCAAACTTTTTGTTTTTGTGGATTTACAAATATGTTCGGGTGTTTTAGGTAAGTGTAATATTTTACATAAAATGTGTTTTTGTTTAGTATCTGTGAAAATAAAGATGTATGTTGTGTGTGTGGGAATGGTAACGTTAAATGTATTGGAAAAACATTTTCCAGCTAAAGTGTAAAAAGCACGAACTGTTTGACAAAAGTAAATAGGAGTTGGAGATGGAAACGAAGAAGATGAGATGAAAGAGAGTTTGGTTAGTTTATAGAACAAGACCATTTCTCGATCGAACAAACGTATCATAATGTCTTGATCTACTGTACGTTACCACGCTATCGCAACTTCACTCAGTTACATTTCCCTCTTGCAATTTGAACCCCTTGTAAATCACACTAAGTGTTATGGACACGTATTCATACTTTTATACGAGCGGGCCTGTAAATTGAAATTACATAACCAGGTTGCAATGTCGGATAATTTAAGGCCTAGTTGTATAATTGTGAAGTGCGATTATTCGTCATATTGATTGTTTTAGGTGTTAGTGGAAAATGTACTTTTATGTATTGCAACGAGAGCGAGAGCTCATCATCTTTCAGAGTGATCTTAGGTCGGCAGTCGCTGATTTTGCGGGCCTTTTTGTCAGCGTGTGCACCTCAGTTCTTAGACCAGCGCCGTATTTTTTCAGCCTGTTCTTAAAGTAATTTTGATTTTGTTTTTCTTGTTTTGAACTCGACTTCATAACAAATCCTCTATGCCTTAAGGAAAGTAGCACTTCGGGTACTTTTGTTCTCCCTAATGTAGAGGTCACATGCAGAAAGGTCATGAAGTCATTACCATGATGCTTTGACCTCCTAATTGTGTTGATTGATGTAAAGACCTGTCCATGTCATGTGATGTCATGGAGGTTAACCCAGCAGAGACCCAGGATCACTATGAGCCCAAACAGGGCAAGGGAGTTCAGAGAATCCAGTTTTTGAATCTTTTTAATAGAAGTTATCAACCTAACCTTAGTCTTATGCACTGTTTGTGTCACTTTTGTTTTATTTTTGCAATATTTCACAATATTTATGGATTTTAGCTGGTTAAAATGATACTTTGTACACTTGTATATAAATGTGGCCTAATATAGAATGTTAAAAATATGGTTAATATTTTAGTCCCATGTCCCACAAATCTAAACGCTCTCTAGTTTTGCCTAAATAACATAGTTTGAGTTATTTTGGTGTTGTTTAATGGACATTCACGAAAAAAAGTGACAAGTTACACCATATATCAGCATAAGCCCTATGACAGAAACCTTACGTTATGACAAAAGACCCATTGGAGCATTGAATGACTAGGCACAAAATGTCAGTCTAAATGTTACTGTTACAGAGAATTTACATTTCAGGTGCAATCATAATTTATTATATTGCACATTAGAATTGCACATTCACTTGGCCAAAAAAAAAAAAATCAGCACAGTGGTCAGTTTAAGTCAAAATGATTTTCAGCCTGCCTTTTCCTGAAATATGCATGCAGTTTCCATTTTAGTCAGGTTCTTTTATTCTATTTTGTAAAATCACTAATGTTTTTGTATTAATGTAGTTAGCTTAGTACAGCCCAATTCCAAATATTATTTGTCTGAGTGTCTTTTTACATTAGTTCCTACGGTTTTTTTTTCCCGTTTTTTTTTCCTGGCAATTTTTCTTCCCATGAGTTGATCCTGCCTGGGACCGTAGGGAAACCCCCACAACTAAACCACAACGATCTCTTTATCATGTTCGCAACATTGCAGTTTAATCAACAGACACGTCACACTGACTCAAATGCCTCATTTTCAGTGACAGTGCTGAT